TGTCCCCATAATTGCCTCAACTGCAAAGCTTTTCTCTTAGAAACATGTATGAATACAGATATATTAAAACTACAGTCAGACATTCAATTAATGATAACGAACAATAGAGGAAGCACACAGAACTTGCCCCTGAAACAACAATATGGACACAATAACTGAAAGAAAAAGGCAATGCTGCATTAGATTAGCTGGGAGTATTTCTAAAAGACAATGTACATAGAGCAAAGAGCCCATTACTGTATTGTAACACGCTCAAGAGATTGCTCAAACAGTCAGTTTTTCAAAAAAGTTCAAAGTACAAAAGATACAAAATCACCTCAAGCACTAGTTCACTCATTTCAGTATTTTTATGGTTAAAACATCAATAGAAATCTTAATACAAATTAAGACAAACAGATGGAAAGTTGTATTTGTCGCACTGGTCCACAAATACGCTTACTTCAGTATTTTTATGGTTAAAACATCAATAGAAACTTAATACAAATTAAGACAAACAGATGAAAAGTTGTATTTGTCGCACTGGTCCACAAATATGCTTAAGTGCTAAAAATATGCTTCCTAGGCTACAATAACTAAAAAAAGCATTTTGAAATGTAATTTAACATTTGACAGAATGAAGGATTTGTGTATGGATTACTACTATTGTGCAGAATCGACAGGACTTTAAAACCCTACAATGCTCAACACACTTCTGCAATCTACGTGTACTCACAGCTCTTGCCTAAGCCTTCTTATCTTTGCTTTGGCATCTGCTAGCTCTACTGACAGGTGCTGTCTGCTTTCAGTGCGTTTCATGCCAGGAGATCCACAAGGTGATTGTGCTGCCGATGCGTGAGGTAGAAAACGGAGACAGTCCCGTTCTTCTGAGAGTTCTATGATAGTCTAAGAAATAGAGAGAAAAAAAAGGCACAGAATTGCACTCAGAGCGCGATTTACATGTCAGAAACTAGTATCATTCACTGCCTTACATCAAAGTCTGAAATGAAGCAAGAATAATGGAAAAGTTTTGCCATAAAAGAAGTTAGAAGCCCTACATACACCTCTATGCCTAAAGCAAAGCGTCACAGCTATCCAACAGTACCGTTTGGCTATTCTTAAACTACTCAAATTTAGACTTTGAAGTCCACAAAATTATCAGTGCTTAGAATGGACTGGGTAACAAAATGGCATGAATTCCTTGAACATGAGGATAAATACAAATCTCTAAAGAACCTGGTGCTCTTCAGTGAGCAGCAGCATCCTTGCCAACTGAATTAAGCATGATAGCTATAGGAACACTCCTATTTCAGGATATAAAGGAAGGTGTTATCCTAATATGAAGACCTCTTGTGTTTTAAAGTTACTTTTCCTTTGCATTGCAAAAAAGGATTACCATACATCCTCTTCCCTCAAAGTTCAGTTTGGTTTACTCTTATCAAGGCTGTGAACTGGCAAGATAGTTGCTAACTGTCAAAGGGATATTTGGAATAACTGCAACATTAACATACCCACACTCTACTGAAGGGCAAATCTGGGACCACCAAAATGATCCATAACTTGAAATTTTTATTAAATCTATTTGTTTCTTGATTCTCAGGCAGTAGAACGATTGTGCCTCATGATAAGCCTGTAAAACCTCCTCTCCCAGAACCAATCCTGCTCCAGTTCACTCAAAGCTGTTCAACAGGATACAGTAATACAACAAGCATCTTTCAGTAATTGGCATGCAAACTGACGGGTTACTGATTCCTGGAAACTTCAGCTGATACAGCTTTGAAATTGTCTGTTTTCAGCTACAGATGAATGCTATTCAAAGTTGTTTCAGACTCTGGTTACATGAAAAAGAGCATCTGCTATTGTGTTTTCTAGTTTGTCAGAGTATTCAGCAACTATTATGCACACCGTAACTATGTGAAGCAACTTTTTGGCAGTAAGAAAACCTTGCCTAAATATGCTAACAGAACATACATTAAACTAGCAGTTATAAAAACGGTAAGCTGTATAATTTTCAAAAAATTATTTCTTATATTTCTCTTGAGCAACAAATCACATACCTCTGAGTGCTCATCTCTTTCATCTATAAGTCTTTTTAAATGTAACGCCATATTTTTCAAGAGAGGTTCAACATATTCTTGTGTCAATACAATCACATCCATCCATTGCAGATCAAACACATTTTCCTGATTATGAGTTACCTACACAGAATGACATGGGAGAGAAAAAACATCCTATTTGAATTATAAGAGTAGAAAGGAACCATAAAAAAAAAAAATAAAGCTGAAACAACCTTACAGCTTAAGTTCTCTAGACAAGGTATGAAAAAACATTTAAAATTATTAAATTGTGAGTTATAGAATAGTTCCTTATCTACCTGAAAGTAGTACCTTGCACTGCTGGCAAAATAAAAAGCAAAAAGGTGGCTATGACATAATATATATTACATATCACATACACACAATTTGGATTACATTTTATGAATATGTTTGCGTAAGGAAATTTCATTAAACTAAATTCGCTGTAATTCTAAGAAATTCTTGGAGCAACATACTTGCTCCCTGGTACTGCTTTAACAATGTAAACCGGAGAAGCTTGATCATGAAGTATTTTGTGAATCAAGTTAAAAAAGTAAAGGCATTTTTTGCTTACTAAAACCACTAGATATACAAAGTCACTTATTTCATTTACTCGCAGTTAACCTTCTTACAAAAGATACTCCAACTCCAAAAAAATTAAAACCACAAAAATAGCAATATACCTCTTGAATATGGGCTGCAACAGCTGCTCTAGTGTCAAAATCCAGACCTTGGATTCTTTCAATAAATTCTTCTTTTTTCTGACACTAAAAATAAAGATACCTATTTTATATACAAACATATATATAAAATCACAAGTATTTTCGTTCCTCCTTTGTACTTCTAAGAGCTAAAAATTATAAAGCTGACATTACAATAATCACACTACTAAATTATTCAGTAATTTTATTGACCAATAAATACTTGGTTTATGCCACATTACAATAATTATAACTTTCAACACTAATAAAATGATAAAGAAAAAACAGCTATTAAAATGGGGCAAGGAAGAGGTTTCTTAATAGCTACTTATTCACATTTTTTGACAGTGAGTTCCAGAGGTATTTTTTCAGTGTCCTCCTCTAGTACTCAAGTTGCTTATTTAAGTTAAGAACACAACACTGATGCTATTTTTTCTGTTTAATCAGCTGAATGGTACAAAATTTCCTAGTAAGAACAGCATCCGTCAAAATGTTCCTTAAATACGTGGAACGGTTTCAGTAAAATGTATCAGTAAGATGATTCTTCAGTACTTTACCACTTTCTTCCTTTCTTTACAGGATCAGGTGAATTAACAATATTAAAATGAATAAACTATCAGGAATCCTACATACACAGTTTGCTACATTCATACACGAAAACGTAAGAGCCGTACAGTTGTAGCCATTTTAACCGTAAGAATATCCAGATTTTCAAGGAACGCAATAGTACCAACTAGAGGAAGGAAGGTCAAAGTTATATACAACCTCAGGTATTAAAATAGTAAGGAAAGAGACTGGTAACACTTAAACCATTCCATACAGATGTAAAAGTAATTAAAACTTACCTGAACTGCACAACCAAGTAAAAGCAGGAGGAGTTTTTTTATTTCTTCAGTACCTGGCTCTAAGAAAACAAGAACAAAAAAATGGTAGGTGTAAAATGGCAATTTGAGTTTCTTCCCCTACCCCTCATAAAACATCAAGTTTACTCATTATTTTAATATAATTTATGTTAACCAAGTTTAGAAAACAAAAAGATTAAGAAACCCCCATTTTCCAGCTTTCAACTTAGTCCTTTTTGCCATTTTACTGCCAACTTTCAGTGTTAACAAACAGCTTAACATCCGTAAGTTTCAAATAGAGAAAACATCATTTCAGCCCTTCATAAAGCAAAACTTCAGAGTGACATTTTCAAAAGTGCTTTGGAGACCTACAATCAAGTTTTCAACTGCAATCTCAGGTATCTCATTTACAAGAGTGTTTAAATTATTTGCCACCCCCAAGCTGTAAGAGTTAGGTGACAAGTTCATTTAAATTATTTTAGAAAGCTGTATTAGATATTCATCTGCACATCTAAAATCAAAATGTAGTTCCAAATCTGGCCTTAAGCATCTTAATCTCCTAAAGAAGCTTTAGTTAGAGAACTCTGTTTACAGATTAGTAAAGATGTATCTTACTTTTTACAGGCAAAACGTCCTCATCCTGCTACTAAATATATGCTATATCTAGAATATAAATGCCATAAAGCAAACGCTTGAAGGATGGCAAAACAGCTTGGGGTAGTTGGAATTAAAGCTCTATATGGTCATGTAACATTTTGCTTTACTGAAACAGAAAACACTATCCATTGGGCTATACAGGAATAAAAGGGTCCTAATAGCATCCTTTCTACAATATAACCTGGATTTCAGCCAACAGTTTATTTCACTGCTAGCTACCCAGAGAAAAGCTACACTGTCAAATAATGCTGGGTCTGGCTTGAAATCTGCCCTTTATTCTGCAAAACTGTACTCTGCAACACAGCTGGTGTAACTACTACCATCACCAACAGATCCACTCTCCGTCCCAACAGCAACCACCCCAGCGATGCCTAGCGTGTACTAAGGTACACACAGATGTTCTTGAACCTGACCTAAGTTACTGAAGTCCCTTTTTTTAGAGGACTCGGTTGGTAATCACAGATGATCTCCATTGATCACAAGACCATTACAAGCATCTAAAACCGAAACTCAACCAGAACCTTCTTTACAAAGTGGCAGTTTGCAATCTTCTTATACATTGGGCAACTAAGTCTACTTTGGAGGAAGCCCCACACAAGAAAGATGTAACCATTCACTTACAAGTATTTGAAAAATTGTCCTTTGATTTGATCCGCGACAGTATTTTGTAAGTGAAGTAAACGTAAAACCCTTCTCAAAAAGTTACAGATATGAGGTAATCTTGAACAAGAGAGGAAATTAAAAGGAAATCAAGAAAAAACCTGAAAGGATACAGAACTCTTAATGATTTTGACTAGCTTTCAGTAAAGATTCAAGCCTGCTGCCATAAAGCAGAGACAAAAGACAGATGCTAAACTTCTCGACCTTCCTCATGGCTTCAGGAGTTCTCTGTGCATTATAATATTAATTAGAGAGACTTCTTTCAATACTGACTCAGCCTGCTTCTTCTAGAGAGAGAGATGTATAATCCCAATGAACATGTAACATTTACATTTTTCAAAGGTTTGTCGAGTGGATATGTTACAAAGAACATGAACCCAAATGGGAGATCTTTAATAATTTATACAGATTTCTTGTATCCCAAAGACTCGAGTTGTGAACATCAATGAACACGTTTCATCAAGAAGCACGCCACTTCAGCTAAAGAAGGGGATTCCACCTGGCTGCCTGTCTTAATCAAAGGTTAACCAGACTATTGCAACAGAAGGAACCTACCCAACATCTTATATCCTACATTAATTTATCCCAATAAAGTCATCTCACTTTGTATTTTTTAAAGCCATCCCTGAACTCCTCTTTGGACACTCATTTGCTCTACTGCTTCAGCATCTCGTGACCAGCTTTTAAAAGCCTACCTGAATATTGTTTCCGTGTCTCTCCCCCACATTCCTTGAAGGAACATGGCAAAATATTGAGCAACCTCAGCTTCCCACTGCTACCAACCCTCTCATATGTTTTTCTTCCTTTTTCTCCACCACAAACACAGAAATAGATGCTTCTCTTCCATACCTTCCAACTTGCTGTTTGAACTTGGTCCCTATCCTATCCTTTGATCTTCCCTGCACTTATTCTTATCCCTGACTTTGATACCCTCTGTAGCCTTCCATCCTCCCCTGGCTTGCTCCCTCAGAAATATGAACTGGTTTTAATCTTTCCTCTTCCCCTGTTAAAAAACATTTACCTCCTCATTATCTCCCTTCCCCTTTTCCCCTGTAATTTAGCTTAACATTTCCAATCACAGCCTGTAGCTCTTCTCCTCCAGTTTTTTTTCCTTAAACTGGCTTCCTGCCAATTAGCTCAACTGAAACGTTTCTTGATGACCTCTTTTTTTACCAAAGCTCAAATCCAGCATTCTATCTGCATTTTCCTTGATTAGCCAACTGCCTTTGATGCAATCAAACACGTTTCTCATCCTGAAATCTTATCTGCCCTTGCCTTCTGCACTTCGTTGTCCTCTGGTATTTTTCTACTAATTCCTCAAGTGCAAAGTAGTGCAAGGGGGAAAAACTGGGCAACGTTCCTGAGAAAAATCACAGCTACAGCCTAAAGCTTTAGTGGACCAAATCCCAATCATTATCTGAGAATTGACTTTTACTATGGTGGCTCGCCTCGATGCAATCGGATTTACACAGCAAGTCTCTCAAAAGGTCACTGAAGTTTGATTTCGCTACACTTGCCCACCAAAGAAAAAAAGCTTAAAAATCCCTGTAGGGATGATGTTCTCTTCCAGGTGACAGAGCAAGAGCAGACCTAACTTCCAAGGAGGAAAGGTTCTGCATGGAACACAAAGATTCAGATCAAACTCCACGATGAACTCAGGCAGGAATCTGAAACATCTTCAAGAATATTGTCCGTATACAACACTTTTTTTTGTTTGTTTGTTTTTAAAGACATGGGCTATGCTGCAGTAAAGTCCATATTCTCTCACAAATCCAATAACGTCCCCACAGGAAAGCAATGCATACACCACCAGAGGTTCCAGCTGCCAAACCACAAAAGCTACATAGACTTAGCTGAGGTCCCAAAACAGGAAGAAGCTTTCTTATTAATGACTAAAGCATAGGTTTTTATGTATACAACAGAATACGAAATCTTTGTGGAGTTTTGTGTGCATTTTTAATAAAATTTCATCTCCTACTACACAATATTGTTTAAGACATATTTTGTCTCAGTATCAGACAGTAAAAAAGTCATTACAAAAACAGTACTACTACCAGGTTTTTTTAATCTGTTTTTGCACTAAGTCTGGTCTTTAGGCAAATCCATGGAGTCTTTTGAAAACCTTAAGAAAGTCTGGAATCAAAATATAAAAGCACGATGGATTCTATTCTTTTGGAAAAGAAGAGATCACATTCACACTTCTTGGAGCATACGATAGATTACAGCAACTACACATTCCAAAACTTAAAAGGCTGTGACCTCAGAAGCACAAGCAGCAATATTCAAAAGCAGAAAGTAAAAAAAATTAAAAAAAATTAAATCAAGTTACCTACATAAATGGGATATATGCAGATGGGATATGGAAAGTATCAATGTTATGAACCCTGGAATTGAAAAGTGAGGTAACACAGATGGTTCTTCTTGCTCATGAGAAAAATCTTCTCACATACACGGAAGCATGGCATATAAGACATCTTAAATAAAGAAAAAAAGCCAGGGGAAGCTACACAGCCTGTTAGAGTAGTTCCTAACCTCTCTGCTGAGGTGCTAGAACATCAGAAGTAGAACACCTGGGACACATTAGACCCAAGTAAATAAATTCTGCCCAATCCATAGTGGCTCCATGCAGGCCAGGTGTGTCTGCTCCGTGCTTCTGGAATTGAGAGCATGGTGCAGAGATTCCCAAGTGGCTGTGGATAGTCAGCTGGGTCCATACAGGCTAATTTTCTTGGTCTGAAAATTGCAACTCTCAGAGCTGGAAGCAGAGAAGGTGGGAGCATGGAAAAGACAGTGTCAGTTCAGGGGAGAAAGCAAGAAGGTAATTGCAATATTTTTCAGGTAACGATGCAAGAGAAGCAGGAGAGTTTTGGGGAAGGAAAAACAAGGATTAGGAGTTGGATCAAGTGAGATGCACTGAACTGCCAATTTTCTCAGGGGTGGCTTAGGTAAAGAAAGTTGAAAGCGTAGTAGCTGGGAATATATGAATCTTATACTTTGTCATATCAGTGGCTCATTGGTTGCTGGGAAACGCACTTCATTTCAGTATAAATCCTAATGACAACCAGTGCTGAGGTTTGGACAGAACACATTTTTGTAAAGTGCGGACCTTTGGTGTGAACAAAGAAAAAGTTACTCATCGTCATTAAACCACTCATTTGCTAAAAGTATTTACACAATCTTCTGCCGAAAGGCTCAATCCTACACGAATTTTATTTCCAGTGAAGAAATACAAATTATTACACCGATATAAATTTTTCATCTAAGTTAAAAATAAACTTACCAGAAAAAGGATTTTTGCCAATTATTAATACATTTGGCAAAGACATCATGATCAACTGCTGCAAATTCTCCTATAAAAGTTAATTAAAATGTTATTTAAATCATACGCGTTGAACAAAAGCAAGCATCAAATACTAACCAGCACTGAAGAGAAATTACTATCACATAAGTAGTTCAAAATTTTTTAGCTCTTAATACATACATGTTCAATACTTAATTATTTGGACTCTAATTAAAAAAAACCTTACAAGTATGAATTTGTTCTAGAAAAGCCCTGCTTTATTGGTTTGCAAGATCATCTCAGCATAGTAAAATCCCCTCATGGCAATGAGCTGACTTATGGCTCTCACACCAGCTAGATCCTGCGTCTCAGAAGGTACCAAAGCTCCTTTAAATGATTAGTGTTTGCGTTTCTCTGACTAGCTTATTGATAGCTGTTTAGTTTGTTTGCTCTCAGTTGCATTTATACTACAAAAGATCCATTTCCTCTAGTTCATGGCCATAGTCTCTCACCAAAACATGGATGTGAAAATGATGTTTTTTTTCCTGCAGTTATGCTGGGACAATCCTGAATGTAACAGTACAAAATCCTATTTGCATGATCAGGCAGAGTTTTAGTTTGGTAAGTCCCACACGCTCAAGCAGCAGCTTTGCCTATCTATTCTACAGATTGTATCAATGGATAGTTTCTGTCAGCCAGTAATGGCTGTAATCAGGTCAAATCCCCAGTCTAGACAGAGCCTAATTCTTCCGAAGCAGAATAGTCTTCCTCCTGTTCCCAGATGTTTATTCGCAGCAGATGCCATCCTATCGGCAGCTCTGGAGTCATGCTTTTTGTTTTTCCACAGTGACAGATTCATTAATACATAAAATATTCATACTCAGAAGCAACATATTCCAGAACCATCACCGCTTTACATCCAGAAGGTGCATGTTAGGTGTCATATTGTAAGCTAAAAACGTAACAAAAGTCAACTCATTTTATGTCAAATACGAAAAATGACAGTATTACTTGAAAAACACCTGTGGAAATTATTAGCCATAGCTATACTTGAAAGTTGTCACCAGTTAATACAAGACATGAAAAATTGCATCCGAATTGATTAATAGTAGACTGAAAAATATGTAGTCTCATTGCACATGCCTAAGACAAATTATAAGGAGGGAGAAAATAGCTTTGACCTACTCAAACATCACGGGTTTCAACCACCCATGACTCTTGTACTTCCAAGATCTTGATAAAGACAATTTTCAAATTAAAATAAAAAACACAAAGTGCAGCACAGGAAGTTTTAAATCAATGAAGAACAGATAAAATATAAGGAATTCAAGGAATATTTATAGCTACTGCAAAAGAAAAATCACGCACTTAAAAAAATGGGGGCTTGGTGGCTTTTTTGTTGTTTGTTTTTTTGTAATAGCTCAAGTAATTCCATGATGCTATTATAAAGCTTTTCTTACTGTAAAGCAGAGTGCCAGCAGGGGTAACCAAGAAATGTTTTCTCTACAGACTAATGACATTATCACCTCTTTTCTTGCAACACCTCTACCTTGCTCCAAAGATGTCTACCACCTTTTCTGTCACACAGTGTTAACTTCATCAGTAAGCCTGGTGCAACTGCTCTCAGTTTGTGTTTACTTTGAAAACAATTGCTTCTATTAAAATCCTGAAATTGGAACCTTGTGTGTCCCAAAATTCACATATTTCTTTTAACTGTTGTTTAACCTGCAAAAATAAACTAAACCTATTTACAAAACTCTGCCTTACTTGCACAAACTTTTAGCATTTATTTTATTAAAGACTCACACACCATCTGTCAAAGGAGGCTGACAGAGCACCCATGGGCATCATGGAAGCTCACTGTATTAAACCTCCCAAGCCCACCAAAATGTATAGGAGGATGAGTTCTCCTGAATCAGCTGCTGAGAACAATTCCATGCTCCTATGCCGCCAGGAAACGTATAGGCTCAAAAGACCAGTTTGGGACCTAGTAAGAGTTTGGTGATGCTGTAAGGAAGTAAGGCAGCTTCATGAAAAAGACAACACAATTCTAATTACAGAGAAGAACAAAGATGATGCACCAACCAAAAAACTTGTATAATCCAATATAACATTTTAATTGTGAATGTTGTGTTCTATCAGTGCAGTTTTTTGACAAGTACATATACAACACTGGAGCAATTATTTGCTAAATTGAGAGAACGTTTCCCACAAATGTTGTAAAAACACATGGAATAAACTAGCATGGAGAGGCTCACAATAAAAAGATTTAAGAGTTAGGATCACGTAATGCTAAAAATTAAAACTCGCCATATCCACTAGTACCTTATTCCTACTGTAATATTCCAGACATTAATTAATCTCATACCTCAATGCAGTGATTATTTTTCATGTTCTATTACTCTCAGACCTCAGGCATCCCGTTCGGAACATATACCAAGCGCGATGCCGGTATACAGCTGCCTGAAGCACTCAGGTGTGCGGGCTCACGCCTCTGCCAAGGCGTACCCCAGGCTACGAGAAACCTCTCAGATTGATTCCAAGGCATCCGTCAAGCACTAGTTAGTCTGCCTTGGGTAACTGCACAGGTGACAGGAACTAAACTGACCCCTTCTTGCAACCAAGGCTGCTATGCTGCCTTGCTAACCCACGCACCGGCTGTGGGAAAGCACCAGCTGCCAGGCTGTACTAAGTTTGAGCGGAAACAAAGACTACGGTCCACCCTTTAACACTTTTCTCCAAACCCAATAAACTACTACAGTGCACAAAGCTCCCTGTACGTGGGCGTATCTGAGCAAACATTAACACATGCAAAAAGCTATTTTAAATTTGAACAAGCATTCCAGTTTGGCTACTAAATGCCTACTAAAATGCCAGACCTGCAACATTTCGAAGTTCCCTCACTTGCACTGTCTGTACAGGCTGGTATCTCACTAGACTAGAAGCCTGCGAGACTGGGGGGGGAAAGAGGAGAAAAAAGTGTATGCAGTTCTCTATAGCTTACACAGGAGAAGCTTGAACCATTAAAGGCATGGTGACAGATTTCAACGTTTATTGAATAAGAATACTTTTTTATTTTAAAAAAGCTATAATAAATTATTTTTAACACAGAAGTTAGGAGCAACATTCACAATCCTCAATCGTTCCAAGTTACGTTACCTAAATGCAAGCAATTCTGCCTGACACCGTTGCACTGGGAGGGGCCGATCCTGTACAGCCAAAGCAGCACAGGGAATGCTTTGTATTCAAATAAAGATCAATCCTATCAGTGTTTGTGCCTTCTGTGGCACCAGCTGTGAAACACTGATGCCTGGGCAAAAATTACTGCTGTCAGGGAACAGAAAAGCGTACGGGTCTTCGCAGGCAGCACTTATACCCACAAGAAATAAGTGCCAAGAAAAGGCCCACGTGAAGTATGAGCAGGCTCAAAGTGCGAGCTGGAAAGATGTACAGTGGTTGACCACTGCAGTTAAGTGACAGCTGGGAACTTCCGCTGTACTTGGGAGTTTTTGAGAAGGTACACTGTGTGCGTACGCATAAGGAAGGGCATACAACAGTACCGGCTCTGTCACGATGCGCTCGCTGCAGGAGGCAGATCAAAGGAGATTTTCTCCCAGATCGGGACTCTCCTGGCAGAAAGGTGCAGGGAACGGTGGAAGGGCACTAGAAGACACTCTGTAAGGGACACCAGCAACATCTGCAATGTCCTGCTATCGCGGGCCCATGTGTACACCACTCTATCCAGGCTTTGTGTCTAGAAGGCATAGTACCAGATCTCACCTATTGCACAAACCACAAAAACTCACTGGCTCTAAATTAGAAAATCACTACATTTACTATGAATTCCCATTTGATTGTTATCACCTCACTGATTTTTTCCTACTGAAAATCAAACTAACTCTAAACCAAATAAATTTTATCACATTTTTCTTACAAAGATTCCATTGATAAGACTAAATGCACATTTAATAATTTCTTTCCTAGGCACAAAACTTGCTTCAATTCAGAAAATACCAACTGATACTGCTTAATGTACTATATGAGCAATTCAAGATGCAGAATATCTATTATGTAAACATATCATCATTCACATACAAGTGTTTCCAGACTACTACTATACCTGTAAATTAAGTGCGATAAAAAATTTGACCAGATTTATGCACAACCATCTGTACAATATCTCAAAATATTAATCTTATTATTGTTACCCTTAAAGGCCTAAGTATAAAAGAATACTTAGAAACAATTCTAGGCAAAACATAATACAAGAAACAATTACTGACCTGATAGTAGGTTTTTATTTGTTTCACCAAAATAGACAAATTTTGAATCCTTAATGACGCATCATTGTTTACTTTTTTGTTTATCCTCTGATTAGCAGACTTTGGATTACTGGAAAAAAAAAGAATAAATTAAACACACTGAACATTAATCTTTAAAGCTCCCTATATAACAAAAAACATATAGTTAATGTATCATAACATCAAGCATAACAAATTCTTGACTAGGCTACCATGCTTTTTTTCTTTCCCATCCACAAGTAAATAAGGAATTGTGGAAGTGACAGTAGGCAGAAAAAAGTAACTTGAAACATCTGTGTCTGATACAGCTACTCACATTAGCACCCTTTTTGGCTATAAATGCAGTATGTAATTGGGAGCACCCATCACCATTACCAGAGAATGAATACAAGAAGAAATTTTTTGTGGCTCCACTTCTCCAGCCCCATCCTTGATGGAATACAGAAAGCAGAACACAGCTATAATGTAAATACTCCAGCACACACTGCAGACATCAGGAATCATTCTTGCTGATGCAGGCAATAACAGAATTCAGACTGGCTGCATTAATGAATGTCTATACACCGAAAAACTAGTACAATGCTATTTTACCATTGTGAGGCACAAAAACAGAATGTAAGTTTTCACTTTTAGAACAACGAAGGATATGAACTATATCACAATAGCACACACTAAGTTATTTTAAATTTTTTTACAGATGATGGAAATCTGTCAACAAAGGGATTATTAATTGGTGTTTTTGTCATGTATTCTCACATAAACCAGTGAAAAATCTGTTAGCGTCTTGGCTTCAGAGAGGAAATCAATCCCTTTTTCCTTCAAAAAGTAGAAAGGATCTGAGGAAATGCAGATGAGTCACCCTTTTTCAATACCTCATAACATACCAAGCTATTAACCACATACAAGACAGCATGACAACCATTGTGATTTTTCAAGGAAAACAATGCAACTCCCCCACAACACCCCCTAAAAAGCTTACAGAATTCTTGAGAGATGGCCAATGAGAAGTTTCTTAACTTTTACAAAGATACTTGATACAGCTGCACAACACAACTTTTGATATTTAATGATGATATTGTACTGTTTAATGATATTATTGTCAGATAAATGTGCAGCTGGCTGGAATACCGCACTCAAACAAGAAACTACCAACTTCTCGCTGTCAAACCAGAGGTTCCTGCAAGGGTGTGTGCTTGCTGGGCCTGGTTTTATTCAACATTGTCGTTAATGATTTAGACAATGGAACACAGAACATACTTACCAGAACTGCCATTGGCAAAAATTGGGAGGAATAGAAAAAAAAACAAACTTCAAAGACCCCATGACAGTTGAGAATGATCCTGATAAAGTGGGAAAGTGGTGTGACAGCAGGACAACGGAATTCATTAACAACATGTGCAGGCAAAGGAACATACTCAGGAATCAAATGCAGGAAGAGCAGTAACTTGCTATAGTACTGAAATGACCTGAATATTGTAGTGGACACTACCAAATACTGAGGGAAAAGAAACACCATTGCCAAAAGAACCCTAGTTCTACGATTTTTTAGTACAAGTGTTGTCTAAAACAGAGGTAGTTACTCTGTGTACGGTACAGATGATGCTTCAGTTACTAGAGGGTCACGCTTCGGGCAGGTCTGTATTTACACTTTTTTGCACCGACAAATCACCTGGGCTCTAAGCAGCAGGCAAAGGCTCACCACAGGCCTTCCCTCAGTTACTTGGCTGTACTGTAGGGGCGGGTGGCATACAGCGACGTCTGCACCGGGAGAATGAGAACTGCCCATTGAAAAGCACATCCATCACACAGCATATTCCTGCCCAGGAGCCTGAACGGGGCGGGTTACAGGTCAGCATGAATTGTCCTGGCAGGACACCTAGGACCTGCAAACCTACAAAGCCAGGTGCTACCGATGCACACAAACTGAAGGCTGTGCAGAGGACACCAGAAAATGAATATGCACCATAGAGAACAGATATATTTTATCTAAAGAAACTACATGTAAGTAGTCTACAAGGATCACCGATATATACGCGATTCACACATTTCTACGCTGATACCTGATTCACCTGTAAGGTGTAAGTGTTAACAGCCAACCCCCCAAAATGAGCTCTTCCCTCTACTCCGTTCAACATAGTAGTATCACAATTTATTTTGATGCCATTTATCATTTTTGTAATTTCGTGTTCTTTGTACGAGCGTCACTATAGACAAAATTTATGTATTTTAATGTTACATAAACTTTTAAGTTACATAAACTTTCACTTCCCTTTTACAGCTTTCTTTGGTTTTAGCATGTTATAATTTTTAAAAGATACATTTGTGTCTTTTCTTCAATTTATTGTCATCAGAATTGCCTGGCTTGTAAGCCTGAATAGAAATAACGTAGGAAAAACATTGCAGGCAAAGGAAGTCAGATCATATATAAAACGCACGTCCAACACACAGGCATTTTTGAAAGAAAAGCAGTAAGCGTAGCATCTTTTTTTCCTCGTACATGAGAATATAAATCTAGGAAAATTAGGACACAGCTCTTACATGGGTAATTGCCTCATCCTTAAATGCTCATCACCACGTACCTAAAACTACTATAAGGTACATTTTAGAATCCATTAGCCAAAGCTATGTGACTGTCACCTTGGATTTACTAATTCAGCCAGCCTGTAGCTGCAAAAGGAACTAAATAGGCTAAAACTGGTTATGCTTTGCAGATGCGCAGAACTGAACTCCTTTCCAAACTGAATTCATTCAGATTTGTTAAAATCAGAAGAGAAAATCCAGGATAAATCCTGCTGACCTGATGGCATACAGAGATCAGCTGAAGTCTCCTATTTCTACATTCATATGTCCAAAAGGCCGATTGGGGCCCTTAATCTTCATCTTTAATCTTAATGACTAT